TCATGCCATCTTGTGGGTTAAACCAATATACTTTATTTCTTCCTGTGGTGCCATCCTGTTTTATTTTCACTCCCTCGTTATTTGATAGCGAGGGTCAATAAATTTTTCCTTTTTTTTTCGGTGCTCTGATTTCTGTTTCTGTAATTTTGTGTTTCAGATAAGATTGTCCCCAAATGTGGGAAATCACCTAATTATCTGACACCATTTTCTGAGTTACTTGCATGTAAAAGCATTTTAACATTTCACAGTCTCTATTATGCCACAGACTAAGATAGTATCTATTACACTGCTATTTATAAAAGCTATGCAGGGCATACATGAACTGACAGATTATACTTTATCAAGAGCAGTAGTTACAGATTGTACTCTCTCAGGATTTTTGTGGTCAATAATACCGTGCCAGAGCTAATAGATAAATGGCAAAGGCAATAACTGCATTTGTTATTTATAATTCTGGGGTGGGCTGAGCTCTGTTTTCCGGGAAGCAGCGGGATGGGTGTCCCTGTGCCCACCCCCCTGGGTCCCAGAGAGAAGCTGCTCCTGTGGCTGCAGCTGAGGGGCACTGGGAAACCTGAACAGTCCTGATGGAAACCGATGCAAAACCAGGTTTTGTTGGGTTTGGGACTTGCCATTTTCCCCTGATCCCTGTGTTTTGCCTTAGGAAACAGGAACTGGGCACCAAGACATTTTGTTACCCTAGAAGGGACGAGTTTGTTTGTGTTTATTTCCTGAGCCACCTGGGACGATTTGGGTCTCAGTTGGCACCTGAGAGCCTCCTTCTGTGTCCTGGGTGGGGTGGTGGCTATCAAAGGGGTAAAAGTTGGAGCAGGAGGGTGGGTGGAGAGGAGAGCAGTGGCTCTTTGGGGATTTGCATCTGGAAAGGGCCCTCAGTTTCCTGATGGGAGCCCTGGAAACAGAGCTGAGAGTCCCTGAGCAATGAGGATGGTGCAGCTGGAATGCTGAGAGTGCAGAGGCTGCAGTGGGTGTTGTCTGCTCGGTCTCCCGATGTCCCATCTCTGATGCTGGGCTGGCACCCAGGCACCTCCCAGGGCTGGACACCCTCAGGGCAGGGGTGGTTTTGAAATGTTTTAAATGCTGCAGCAGCTCCCTCAGATTGGATGAGTGTGAGGATATCCAGCTCTTCCTTAGGGCTTGGAGCATGGCAAGGGTGCAGGGCTCATGGTCAGTCTTGTTTAAACACTTGTAATAGCAAAATATTTTAAAACAGAGACTTTGAGGAAATAACATCCGTGAGTCTGTTGCAAGGATAGGTACAAGCTGTCTTTATTAAAGATCCACACTGCTGGATGTTTGGTCAAAGCACTCTGGGGACAGAAGGTGTCCCCAAAGCTTCATGAACCCCTTGTTTTCTGCTGGTAGGGCAGGGTGTGAGCCCAGCCTCGGGGGCTGTGTGGCTCATCCTGCCTGGAGCAGGGACACCCCGTGAGGCTGAGCCACAGAGGTTCAGTTGTTGGAGCAGGTGGGGATCTCTTTGTGCCTGGGAATTGTTGTTGCTGCGTTCCTGTCCCAGCTGCAGGGTTCCCTCAGAGCCTGTGCCCTGCAGCAGCACTGGGAGCTCCTGTGCTGGGCAGGGAGCAGCTCTGGCCTGGGGCTTTCAGTCCCATCAGCGTCCATTGAAATCCAGCGTTTGTTTTACTTCCATCGGCCTCTCTGCTGTGCCACCCTCGGTGCCAGGGGACAGAGCTGTGGGAAGGCTCCATCCCATCTGTGCCAAGTGCTGCCAGCGCTTCCAGCAGCACTGCTGGGGCATCAAGGGCTGCCTTTGGAGCCTGGCTTTCACAGAGGGTTACACACTCTGCCCTTCAGCATCCAGCTGCATTCTACAGCTGGATAGTTCAGCTAGCAGGGAGCAGAGTCAGCTCTTGGGCCCAAACCAGGTTTTGTCCCAGAGAGCGACTGAGCTTCCTGAGGTAGCACACAGATGTGCACTGGCCTTTGGGGCTAATAGTGAGTGCTGCCAGGTGATTGTGATAAGGTTGAGCTGAAGCTTAGAAAAGCCATCAGCTGTAAGGAGAGAGAATCTATGGAAAACAGGTGGCTGGTGCACTAGCTGGTAGTAGGTCCTGGGCTTTTCTTCTTCTTCTCTTTAACCTGTTCTTAAGAGGACCCCAAAACTGCAAAATCGAAAGGAAGGGGGATGTAGGGGTGAAAGTTGCTTTTCATTTTTTGAAGTGTTGCTGTGGATTTTGGTGTGTCAAGTGGCACTACCGAAACAGCATTGGAATAACCAAACTTCAGGACTCTGCACTTAATTCCTTGAATGTGTTTGTGTGGGTGCAGGAAATGCCAAATCCCAAAGCAATTCCATGTCTGTAACTTCAAGTGCAACATCTTTAAAACCAAGTGCTCAGTGTGGGCTTTCCACGTGGATGCAAAGGGTCAAAGGCCTTTCTTGTGTCCCAAAAGCAAAAACCCTTTCTCTGTGAGGTTTTGGAGGGGATTCTCTTTGGGATTTCTTGTGATGCAGCATCCTGGGTGTCCCTTCCTTTGTGCAAAGTCCAATGGTAAAGGATGGAATGGCTGACACATGGGGTCTGGGATAAAAATGGTTCTGTTAAAATTGGGCAGAGAATGCAATAAGAAAAATGAGCATCCTTTCAATGTCTGAAATAGTCAGGAATAAAAGTGCTGGAAAAGGACACATTTATGTTTGAATTGGTGTCACCTCTCATGGATAAAACCCCATAGTGAGCAATCAGAGCAGAAGTATGAGAGCTGGGATCCTTTGACTTCCACAGTGGACTTAATTTTCTTTTTCTCCTCTCTTTCAGGGCAGGAAAAATCATCAAACTCCTCCCATCTTTGCCAAAAGCTTTGGTGTTTAAGCAGCCAAAGGCAAGAGGCCTCAGCACCAGGGGTCTGCACTGGAGGGCTCTGGTCCTGCCCATGCTGTGGGGTGAGTCAGAGGGACACAGGGCTCCTCTTTTCCTCTCTGCTGGGATTAACTGCCATGGGAATGCCATTGCTGACAGCCCAGCCCCAGCTGTGTCTGCTGGAGAAGGGCAGAGGTGAAGAGACAAATGCCAGAGTTCCCTGGGGATGCTGGAGTTGTGGTGTTGGCTGTGCCCTGAGGGGCAGGTTGGGCATTATCTGTGCACCCAAGGACTGCTCTGGGGGTTCGGGAGCTCTCAGTGCATTCCCAGCTCTGCCAGGGCTGGCAGCCGGTGCAGGGCTGGGTGACGGCCTCTGGTCGGGCTGGGGGCAGGCATGGCCCTGGCACAGATGCAGGGGCAGGGCTGGGAGGATTTGGGAGCAATGGGAGGAGAATGAGGGATGGTGCTGGGCACAGTGGTCAGCCTGTGCTCGTGTCAGCACAGCCCTGCAGGGCCCTGGCATCTGGGAACAGCTCCAGCTCTCCTGGTGCCCAGGGATGGGCTCTGAGGGACTGGGTTTACCTGTGGCTTTCCAGGTCAGCAGGAACAAGGGCAATGTGGTGCCAGAGCTGTGGCCCATCAGGCTGTATTTCCCTCTGGGAAAGCAGAACAGTCTCTGGGCTGAGGTGAGTTTCCTGCAGGTGCTTAGAATCCAGGGAAGAGGGAGTTCAGGAATTGCATCTGCTGCTGGGAACAATGCCTTAGGCTTGCTTAGTTTGTGTCTGTGAGAAGTGGGCTTTGGGCTGGAGAGGTGCTGTTGGCAACAAAAGATGGAGTCAATCCTCTCCAGGGATGTGCAGTGAAGGACTGAGTGGGAGGGAAGGGGAGCATTTAGAAATGATATCAGCATTTCTCCCAACATTGGGGTGGAGCAGTGATGGGGGTGGTTGGGTTTTGTCTGGGCCTTGTTATTCCTTGTGCCATTTTTCAATTCTGTTGCATGATTTACTGTCCAGTATCTTTCTAACAAAACCTGACAGAAATTTAGGTTTAGGATTAGAACTTAGGTCCATTCAGTGCAAAATCTTGCCAAGGCTGGGGGACTGTGATGATGGCTGCTCTCAGCAAAGGTCACTTATTAATGCTGTGTCAGATTTCCCTCAGTGCTGGGCAGGAAAGGTGAGGGTTTGGATCAGGAATTCTGCAAACAAGGCCTGGGTGATGGTTGATTTGTTTTGTTTTTCAGTGAGCCAGGGCTGGCACAGGGAATTGTGCAGGTACTGGTCTGGCACCGGAGCTGCTGCCCTTTGGAGCCATTTTAAGGGTATGATCATAGAACATTTTGGGGGCTGTTTTCAGAACTCTGGGTTTCAGAACTCCTGTCCCCAGCCCATTGCTAACCCTGGGACATCTGCTCTGGTTTCAGGCTGTCCTTGCTGGAGCACCCTGGTCCCTGCCATCCCCAAGCCCTGAGACACAGAGGAAGCCCTGTCCCAAGTGGCCTTTGGCACCTTGTCAGGAATGTGGCAGCAGCCCCGGGAGCAGGCTGGAGGTGAGAACTGGGTGTTTGAAACTGAGGAGTGCTTATATGGGGCTGGGGGGAAGGGGGAGGAGTTTCCATCCCCCCTGGAGCTTTCCTGCTGGGATGGGGCAGCACAGGGAGCAGAATTAATTGTGCACCTCCCATGGGCATTGCTGGCCTTGGTGTCTGTGTTGTGCCATTGTGGCACTTTGCTGCTGTCACTGCCACTGCCAGCCCAGCTGGGGGCTGTGCCCTCCTGCCAGCCCCACACAGGAGCTCCAGGGGTGCCTCTGTGCTCTGTTGGGAGCATTTGCTGGGAATGTGCCTCATCCCTGGGAGTGTCCCTTTGTCCCTGGGCTGCCAGACAGAGCTTTGGGCTGCTCAGGCTCAGGGTTGGATTGCCAAAGGCACTGAGAGGGAGCAGCACAGGGAGGGTGCTCAGAGAGGGGCTGGCAGAGCCCAGCTGGCAGGCTGGGCTGGGTGCTGCAGGTGGGTGGGTGTGCACTGCAGGGAGCAAATGTCCCCTTCCCTAACCAGCCCTGCAGATCCCAAGGGCTCCTAGAGCAGGATTTTATTCCTTACTTCCCTTTGTGGAAATTCATTCTCCAAATTGCCATGAGCAATTCTTGGATTTCTCTAGGAGAAAACCTCCCAGCAGAGCCAGATTGCAGTGGAGGCCAGAGTTGTGTTTGGAGCAGGGAGTGCTGAGAGCTGCGTCTGCCTGTGCTGCCACAGCCTGACCACAGCCACAGGGAACAGCCTGGGAAAAGGGATTGGGGGAATTGCTGATGCCCCAGTGAGAAGAACACAAACTCACAGCCATTCAGCCTGACAGTCCCCTCCACCCAGAGCTCAGCACACATCCTCAGAGGTAAGTCCAGCAGCTGAAGGAGCAAAAAACCAGAAGAAAAAGGTGTTTTATTTTGCTCTAAAGTTATTTTAAGTTGTTATTAAAGCCTAACCAACATTTGCTCTTGATTTTGGTTGGGTGAATAACAAGCAGTAGGTATAGATGATGCCATTCATGTAGCTGAAAACCTGCTGTAATCTAGAGGGGATACAAGAACTGTTTGTGTAGGAAAATGTGAGGGGATGTCAGGGGGAGTGAGGTGGCATTTTGGAGGGAATTGCTGAGGTAATTGAAGGGAGACCAGCAGACAATTTCCCTGGGAAATCCAAGGCCCCTCGGGCCCACAGCCAGGACTCTCCAGGGCTAAGGGGTCAGCACTGGAGACTCACTGTGTCCTCCTTCCTTGGCAGCAGCCAGCAGGGAAGGGAGAAGAGGATCCCTGTGGGATGAGGCTGGAGAGAGCAAGCAGAGGAGCAGCCTCGGGCTGGAGAAAGGCAAAGGGACCAACATGGTGTCACCAGGGCACCTGTGAGGAACAGAATGGACACTTGGAGGCCCCATGGAGGTGAGGAGTGGATGGTTTGGGGCAAAATGGGAGTTAATCTCCAGAGAGAGAAGTAGGGGATATTTAGGAGGGAAAAGCTGAGGTGATGAGTTCACCCACCCTGGCACAAGGTGTGTTTGCACAGGCTGGGGCCAGAGGTGAAGGTCAATCCAAAGCCAGCCCTGCTCAGCCTCTAAATCCCAGGATAAGTTGTACAGGCTACCCACTGAGGGATTAAAAATACATAAAAATGAAACCAAGAGCATTAATGAGATTCCTGGGAATCCCATTAACTTGTTGTTAGAACTCCTAACACAGTTTTGAGCTTTGATGACAAGAATGCATTTCTTTATTTGGATTATTCACTGTGTGGGATATGGGGTTTATTTGGATTTTAAAGCTCTCATGGTGGCCCTGACACTGCTCAGGAGCTGGTAGGAAAAGCAGAGTCAGAGCTCCTGGCAGGCACAGGGTGTTTTCCCCCATAGTGGATTGTGGAGGAATTGTCTGGGACCTGGATTATCCCTCTGGGTGATGCCACTTGCTGTGGTTTGTATAATTCCATACATTTAATTCCCAAAACTTCCCAGACCAGGGGTTTGAGCTGACAGGGCAGGACAAAGATTGTTCTCTGTGTGGTGCCCAGATCTGGGGTTCCCTGTCAGCTGTGCTAGATCTGATGAATTATACCCATAGCCCCAACTTCCCTGCTCCATTCCCACTGCAGTAACCCCACAGTGCCCCATGGAGTGTGGGTATTCCCATGCAGAGCTGCTGCCTCGGACAGCAGCTGTGTCAGGAGCCAGCAGAGCTTCCAAGGAGGCTCAGCAGCACAGGGACAAGGACAGGGTTCTATTCCATAGAACTGGCTATTTAGAACCCTCACCCCAATGGTGTCCCTGGGTGGAGCAGTGGCCGGATGATAAAGGTGCCCAGGCTAGGGAAGCAAGTGTCCAGCCAGCCTCCAGCCAATCGAGCACTGCCCAGGCGCAAAACCCAGGCCCTGTGCTCAAGCGATGGTATGCTTCAGGGCAGATGGCCGCGGGTAGAAACTCCAAAGCCGCAGGGTGCGGAAGAAAGAGCGACTCAGATCTTCTGGGGGTAGGAGGTTTTATTGGAAGGGGTGGCGATGGGTCAGGGAGCAGAAGTCTGAGCACCGAGGCAGGGAAAAGCCTCAGGTTTTATAGGGAATAGGCGGGGTTGGGAACAACAAATCAGGAGAGGGGTACAAAAGATACATGGAAGATTGACAACAGCAAACAACTAATGGGAGACAGTTGCGGGTGGGGCCCTGGCCCCTGATCCAATCACCCAACACCCCAGCCAGAAGCTTCTGGAAAAAGAGGCAGGGGTGCTGGATGACAGGCAGGCGGCCAGGGGAGGGGAACAAACGAGATACATTGGGGTAACCAGGACAACGTGGGAGGGGTACAGGGATTGACACTTGCTAGATACTTCGGGCAGAACCATTTAAACGACAACGGGGGGAGAACTGAACAAACATAGAACAAACCACAACACCTGGGTCACTGGACAGAGCTGCCTGGAATGGAGCTGATTTCACCCCCCTGAGCTCCAGGATGGAGAAGATGCAGTTGGTGTTTTAAAGCAGGAGAAGGCAGTGGCCAGATGTGCTCCCAGCCTGTGCTGAGGCAGCCCCTGTGCCCAGGTGGGGACATCTCTCCCTGCAGAAGCTCAGCTCCTTTCAGAGCCTCAGCAGTGGCCTCTACAAATTCTTTTCTCTCAGGAAAGGGATCTGCATCTCTGTCTTCAGCACACCTCCAGTGGGACCTACCTGTGAAAGCTTTCCATGACATCTGCACTTCCAGCTGGATCCCTGGAAAACTCCAAACTCCATCCCACTGATTTTCAGGTATCTCTGAGGGCTACTGCCTGGGATTTAATATCTGTGGGGGAAGACTGCCTTGGCTTTAATGCTGCTGATGGATGATGGCCTCAGGCTGGGGAGGAGGGAAGGGATTTGGGGTGGCTGGGACATAGCTGGCAGCTGTGTGGGAGCTCTGAACCAGGAATTGCTGTGTGAGCCCCTCTGCAAACAGCCCTTGCCTCCATTCCCAGTAATGCCAGCTGCTCCTTGGGGTCCTTCTGAGCTGTTGGTGGTCTCTGTCCAGGCTGAAGCATTTCCATGTGCCTGGTCAGAGCAGCCCCTGGCTGAGGAGCCACGGTGCAGGCACAGCTCCTCCCCTGCAGATCCCAAAGACACGAGGTGCTGCTTGCCTTTCAGGAGCTTCTGGCCTCCTGCTGCCCTGCACTCCCAGCCAGCTGGGACACACTGAGGGAACACCAAGGAGCATCACTGGCAGCAAACAGGAGAGACACCAAGGCCTCTGGGCCAGAAAAACAGCCCTGGCCTCAGCAGCCATCATCGTTTTGACCTGGCAACACTCACCTGCAGGAAACGCCCCCTGCCACAGAGCAAGGTGACCCTCAGGACTTGTCTTGTTCCTGGGGAAACAAAGGGACATTGTGTGAGCACATTTACAGCTGCTGGGTAAATCCTGGAAAGGGCAGAAAAATCAGGGTTATGGGGAAGAGTTTGGTGCTGACATGTTGAGTGCCAGCCAGTTCTGCCCTACAGCCATTGCAGGGGCTGGTGTGTAAAGCAGCATTAGCAGAAGGGAAGGAGCTGCATTTGTAGAGGAGTTCTCTTACTGGCAGCAGTCATTCCCATCCCTCACAGGACCTTTGGAACAACCCTGGGATTGGCTCAGGTATTTGGAGCAGTGTACTGAGAAGCCCAAAATTCTGTGTTCAATGTGCAGCTGGGCCAGTCACTTCTCAGCATTTGACTCGATGATCCTCACGGCTCTGGAAATAAAGAACAAATAATTTTCACTGTTTTTTTAATATGGGGGTTTTTTTCCTTGTATTTCCCCAGGGCTCCAGTCCCACACCAGGCACAATCGGAGCAGGAGCAGCAACACCTCGGCCCCAGCGGCCGTCCCAGAGCGGCTGCTCCCGGCCGGGGCGCTGCAGCCCCCGGGGGTGCGGACACGGAGCAGGGGCTGCGGGCGCTGTGCCGGGGGGGCTGCGGGGCGGCGCCGTGTCCGCCAGGGGGAGCCCCGCGGGGCGGGTAGCGGCGCTGAGCGAGCGGCGATGCCGATGGGGTCCCGGGGCCGGTACGGGCGGTCTCCGTGTCCTTCCCGCTTCCAGCCGCGATCCAGAGGCCGCTCCCGGGAAGCGTCATCCTCCTGGCGGGCATTGCAGTGGCACAGCAGCGGCTCTCTGCCGCCGCAGCCGGAGTGGCAGCGCCTGTCCCAGCGCGGCTCTTTCCAACCGCAGTGATGCCGGTCCTGATCCCAGCCTCAATCCCCCCTCGATCCTCTAGCCCCAGCACCCGCATCCTACCTACCGAGGAAGAAGCGGCTTGGCCCAGCTCCCACAGGAAATACCGGCAAGACCAGGACCAGAATCCCCGGGCCCAGATCCCGATCCCACCTAAGCGCCTTAGACCCCGCGCAGTAGCAGCGGCCCCCAATCCGGATAGCCGCACAGCACTTAGACCGCCGCTCCCGCCGCATCCCGAGATGGGCATCCCCCACAGCAAGCGGGACAGGCGCGGATCCGCCGGGATTTATCGGCGGGTGGGGGGGAGGCGGGGCCCCGGGGGCGGGGCCGGCACAGGTGTGAGGGACCCCAGTGCGGCTGCGCAGGGCGGGGCCTTGAGGGATGTAAGGCGCGGGGAGGAGCGGGCGGAGCCATGTGCTCCTCGGCGTTTTATGAGGGAGGTTGCTGCCAGCCGGGGCCCTGTATCTCATTTTCTGTATATTTTTCTTCTGCATTCGTTATTTTTTGTAGTTTTTTTTCTCTATACCTCTCCTTTCGGCTCTCCCCCACTCCCTCCACCAACTCCCCTCCACCCCTACGGCTGTCCCCCGCCCCCTTTCTATTCCCCTACCCTACTCCTCCATCCTTTCCCTCTTCCTTCCTTCCTCAACCGGACTCCCTCCTGCCCCCTCTCCTTGCTCCGTTTCCTCCCCCGCCCAGTCGCTCCTCACCCGCCCTCATCCTGCTCCTTCCTTCACCCTGCCTTCCCTCCAGCCCCATCCCCTACTGCCCTGCACACCTTAACCTCTCCCCACCTGACCTCACCTACCTCTCCCCTCCCCTATTCTCGTTCTCTATTTGCCGCTCTCCTTCTTTCCTCGCAGCCACGGGGCTCGGACACCCCCCCCCCCCCCCACCCCAGTGTGATGTTGGGAAAGCCGGAGCCCCGGCGGTGTCGGGCGGTGTGTTGGACTGCAATGGGGGCACCCGCAGAGCGGGTCCGGCCCCGTGTGGAGACCCCAGCGAGGGCGGGGGTGCCGCGCTCCGGCCCTCAGGGCTTTATTATTGCCCGGCACCCCGAGCCCTGCGGCTGCGAGGAAAGGAGGAGAGGATGGGGAAACAGGAGAGATGGGGGTGGTGAGGACGGGGAGGGAGAGGGGTCAGAGTGAGGAGGGAAGCGGGAAAGAAAGGGAAAGGCCGATGGGGGAGAACAGGGACCATGGAGAGAGGAGGAATAGAAGGGAGTAGCGGGGAAGGGATAGGACAGGAAGGAGTCGGGGGGGGGGGGGTCTGGTTTGGGAGGAGAGGAAAGGAGCGTTTCAGGGGGAGAGGGAAAGAGAAGAAAGAAAGCGAATACGCGGAGAAGGAAGGAGGGGTAGAGAGGAACAGAAGGGGAGGCCGAAGCCTTCGCCCCTTACCTGCGGAGCCCGCACAGGGAGCTCCCGTCCGCAACGTGCTCTGCCTAAGCGAATAGCAGCTGAGGCGATTTCCGCGGTCTAAATCACCTCGGCCCCGCCCCTCGCAGCTGAGCCCCGCACCGCCCCTGGTACCGCCCCCTGTGCCGTCTGGCCCCGCCCCGAGCCCGCCCCCCCTTCCCGGGATCTCTCGCGACCCCGCCCCTCACACTTGGGCCGAACCGGGGCAGCTCCGGGCGCGGAGCCCGGGGCTCCAAGGGGGGGCCGGGAATGGGACTGGGGTTCTGGTTCAGCTCCTGTCGGTATCGGCCGGGGGTCCCGACTGACAGCCGGGGCCGGGGCTGAGGCACTCCACGGCCCGAGCCTCCCCGGGCCGGTGGGGACAGAAGCTGCCACGGGTCGGGCAGGGAGTTCCGGGGCCGAGGGGCAGCGGGGACAGTCTCATCCCGGTGCTCGGGCCGGCGGGCTCCGGCGCTCCCGGCGGTTTTCTCTGGCGGAGGGTGGGGGACAGGCGGGAGGCTCCTCGTGGGGGAGTTTTTGGGGCGTCGGGGCCATGGTAGGCCTGGAGGAGTGCGGGCTGTGAGGGAGGGATGCTCCTCTGGAAGCGGGTGTATCCGGCCGGGCTGTGTTCCCGGGCGGGGTGGGAGGTGCTGCAGCTGAAATAAACCTGAATACAGCGATTCCCCACATCTGCCAGTGCTGCCCCACAGACACGCAGGACCAGGCACGGAGGGTGCCTCCATCCCAGGTCCCAAGCACTTCCCATAAACTGGATATGGGGTAGGGGTGGGCAATACTCTTCCAGCTGCCCGCTGCTACATCACACACGGGGTCACAAACAGAGCTGCAGTGCTGGCTCTTAACTGCCACGTGCTGTGTTTCGGGGGCTTGGAACATCCTGAGGGGATCAGGTTTGGAGCTCAAGAAAGGGATAAAGTCCTGCATTTTTCACAGTGGAAAACAGAGACTAAATCCAGTGGGTTTGGGTCTAAAGGCAAAAATTTAGTCTTATTTTCACCTTTTGAGAACAGAGACTAAATATAGCATTTTTTGGGCCTTGAAACCAAGCTCTGGGGGATGATTTTGGGTCCCAGAAGCACAGCCCAATGTTTGTGAAGCTCAGAAAAAGTAAAGTCCTGCATTTTCTTTTCTTGAAAATGCAGGTCTAGTCCAGTGTTTCTGGGACTCAGAAAAATGACCAAGTGGCACTTCCCAGAGACCTGGGAACAGCAGCTCAGGTGCCTGCTTTCAGCCCCCAAAGCAGAGGCTGGGGGAGAGCCTTTGGGTGGGAGGGCTGGGGATGAGGACCCTCTCTGGAGGAGGGGGTCCGGTCACCTTGGTCCCCAAAGGTGGGGACACCAGCACACCCCAGGCTGTTTCATGGGTCTGAGATAGTCTCAGGAAAGAAAAGCACTTTTCAGCCCCTTTTCCATGTCCAACTGTTTATTGTGCACAACCACTACAACAGATATGACTTCTATTTAAACAATAACTATGACAAGAAAGAGTTAATAGTTATAACCAAGTTAATAGTTATATGTAATTGATGACAGTGAGTCATGTACAACTTGGCCAAAAGCCCAGATAACTGAAATTAGCTGGAGCTTTAAAGGGGCTTGTAACAAAAAGCAGCAGTTGCTAAGCCAGAGCTGGAAGGAACTGGAGCAGCCATCAACTGGAGCATCTCAGTTCCAGAGCTGGAATGAAGAACACGCCACAGCCAGAGCTGGAGGTTCAGCAAGCTGGACTGGGTAACACCTGCAAGTGAAACAAGCAGAAGGAACAGACATCACCTGGGCCCTCAGCTATCCTGAGCAATAAGTCAGCAGGGGTCCATCAGCAGGAGCTGTGAGCACTAGGAACAGCTCTTGTCCAGTGTCCATCAGCTGGAGCTGTAACAGGCACAGGCATCCCTGAGGGAGAGCTGAGCTCACCTGCAGCTGCAGCAGGAACGTCTCCTGGCTGGATCTGGAACTGGTGCACCCTGGATTCCCAGCCAGGCGCAGGCGTGGATGTCCCTGATCAGGAGCTCTGAGCAGCCTCTTCCCTCGGGGAGTGAAGCCAGGCCAGGTGCCCCTCTCTGTCTGCATGGAGGTGGCTCCCAGTCCCACCCCTGAGAGCAGAAGGGAGGCAGGGGCTCTCCTGGGGATGTGGTGCAGCAGCGTCTCCTCTGTCTCTGCAGAAAGGGGGTCAGTCAGCATCCCCAGGGTGCACAGCACAGCCCCACAGGAGATGCCTGTCCCCCCTCCCAGGCAGGGGCAGCCCTTCCCTCCCTGCTGCCCCTGCTTTGGGCACAGACTGTGCACCGAGGACAGGGAGGCAGAAATCTCAATGGGAGAGCTCAGGGCTCAGCCCAGAAAACGCACGTTTCTGCCCAGAAGAGCAGAGGAGGAGGCACAGATTGCTGCAAGCCCTCTGCTCGGTGAGGGGCACTGTGGGAACCAGCCACCAAACAACACTGGGGCTGAGCCTGGCCTGGCCCAGCACCTTCCCCCAGCCACCCTTACCCTGCCCCAGAGCAGGACTGGGGAGCCACAGACTGTGCTGCCCATCCTGATAAACATCACTGAGCCAGGCAGAGCACAACCCTGATCCCAGCCTGAACACGCCACAGGGCACATCCCTCAATCAACGCTGAGCCAAGCCCAACACTAAGGAGCAAATGACACCGGCCACAAAGGGCCCAGAATGGCCAGAAGCCCCCGGGATGGGGAGCAGGGCAGGATCATCCCCAGCCCATCTGTGACCAAAAGCCAAAGCAGCAGCAGCCCTGGATGGTTGCTGATGGTGTGGGGAGAAGCCACCCCCGGGCAGCTCTGGTGCAGCCCCTTCTCCCAGCTCCCTTCACAGTGACGGCTCCCACAATTGTCAGGCACAGCTGAATCCCAGCCCCAGTTCCTGTCCCAACCCCCCTGCAGCCAGGGCCCTGTCCAGGAGCATGGCCACTGCAGCCCCAAACCACGCCAGGACAGGACAGGCCACACAACCAGAAACCACAAGCACAACCATGTTCTTCCCAAGGAACAGCCAAGGACAATGCAGAGGCACAGCCATGACCCTGGCCCTGCTGCCAGCCCCAAAGTGGCCCACAGCAGGGCCAGCACCAGAACCAGCACAGTGCGTTCCCCTCAGCCATAGCCTGGCACGACTTCCTCAGGTCATGTGCATCGGGGCATTCCTTCCTTCCTGCCTGATCCCGCAACCTTCCCCAAAGCTGCCCAGGTCAGAGCACTCACCTGGGCTCATCCTCCTGTGCCAGCCTCTCTTGGTGCCACGCTGGGGCCGTGCTCCTCACCTGGGCTCATCCT